TAAGGCGTTGTTTTTAAAAAAAATTAATTCGATTTTATAATAAAAATGTTTTCTTCAGCATTCATTTTATACACAAAAGACCATTAGACCAAAACCCTAATAATAATGTTAGCTAATTAAAAATTCCTTATATTCATTATTTTTCTAATTATAACCTAAAGGTTAAAATCACCCTATATCTAGTTAACATCGTATTTAATGACATTCAGACAATATAAGATAAAGAATCTTAATGATTTTGCATACCATTAAACAAAAATGCTCAAGGTGAACATGAAGATTATATATGTTTATATGGACGTGAACAAACCGTAGGTGTACTCATATTTTACTCTAAATAAGAATTAGAATTTATATATAATTTGTACATGGTTATATATGTGAAAATTTGTTAAGTTTCAATGGAATCTGTTTATGATACCATACGTTCAAATCACTAGTAGTCTTTCTTTCTTTTCATTGTATTGAACTCCTAAATGAACATAGTTTTTGTGTACTTTTGTAATTAAAGATAATCAATCAATTGTCAAAATACCACAACCACAAAGAAATAACAATACGTGAAATTATAATTAAATACATTTTTAAACTAGATGAAACCATTCTGAACAAGAACTCTTATTTAATAGTTGGATTCATGAGTCACTCGAAGCTAGACCACCATGCAAAACCTGAAAACACTTGACAGCCGTTTCGTTCTAATATGAACCCTTATATAATGATTACTTCTTGACGTCAAAATTGCATTAAATAGAAACCTGTAGTGAATTGGAGGTTTTAGAAATTCTTTTTTGTACACAAATATAAAACTAAGCATTTCAAAGATTTCATTACGTGATAGTAATATAACTCACTATTATAGCGTTTCTGTTTAGACTGAACAAAGTTTTCATCAAGAACTTACACCACGTAAAAATCTAGTGTAAGCCGCATAATATTAGAAGCTTCTATTCAAAAAGATTTGGGAGGAGGAACAAGTGCCGATGGACTGGAAAGAAGGACACCTCGTCAAGATTCCAAAGAAAGGAGATCTGAGCAAATGTGAAAACTACAGAGGCATAACACTACTGTCAATACCAGGGAAAGTCTTCAACATATTGTTGCTGAACCGGATGAAGAATGCAGTAGACGCCCAACTTCGAGATCAACAAGCTGGATTCCGTAAGGATCGGTCGTGCACAGACCAAATTGCAACACTACGTATCATCGTCGAACAATGAGTTGAGTGGAACTCATCACTATACATCAACTTCATTGATTATGAAAAGGCATTCGACAGTGTAGACAGGAGGACGTTATGGAAACTTCTTCGACACTACGGAATTCCTGAGAAGATTGTCAATATAATCTGGAACTCATACGACGGACTACAGTGCAAGGTCGTGCATGGAGGACAGCTGACAGATGCATTCCAAGTAAGGACCGGAGTCAGACAAGGCTGTTTACTCTCTCCCTTCCTCTTTCTTCTGGTGGTCGACTGGATTATGAAGACCTCGACATCTGAAGGAAAACACGGAATACAATGAACAGCTCAGAATCAGTTAGACGATTTGGACTTCGCAGATGACCTAGCCATCCTATCACGTACACACGAACAGATGCAGATGAAGACAGTCAGTGTAGCAGCAGTCTCTGCATCAGTAGGCCTCAGGATACACAAAGGGAAAACCAAGGTCCTCAAATACAACACGAATAACAGCAATCCAATCACTCTTGATGGCGAAACTCTGGAAGGTGTGGAATCGTTCATGTACCTGGGAAACATCATCGATGAACAAGGAGGTTCAGATGCAGACGTAAAGGCGAGGATTGGCAAAGCAAGGACAGCATTCCTATAGTTGAAGAACATATGAAACTCAAAACAACTTTCAACCAATATCAAAGTAAGAATATTCAATACGAACGTCAAGGCAGTTCTACTGTATGGAGCTGAAACTTGGAGAACTACAACAACCACAATCAAGAAAGTACAAGTATTTATAAATAGCTGTCTACGCAAGATACTCAACATCCATTGGCCGGATACCATCAGCAATAGCCTTCTGTGGGAGAGAACAAACCAACTTCCAGCTGAAGAAGAAATTAGGAAAAGACGATGGAAATGGATAGGACATACATTACGCAAATCGTCAAACTGAATCACGAGGCAAGCCCTAACTTGGAATCCTGAAGGGAAGCGAGAAAGAGGAAGGCCAAAGAACACATTGCGTCGGATAATAGAAGGAGATATGAAAACGATGAATTACAACTGGATGGAGCTAGAAAGGATTGCTCAGGACAGGGTTGGATGGAGAATGCTGGTGAGCGGCCTCTGCTCCTTCACGAGGAGTAACAGGCGTAAGTAAGTAAGTAAGTAAGATATGACAAAAAAAGTGTTTTGTATAGGGACGAGAGTTACAGACTCAAACAAAAAGTACGTATAAAAACAATTGCTATACAATACGAGTCCGGGATCGTCTGTGAGCAGGCAGTAATAACATTGCTTGATTCTCACATAACCTCCATTCTTATCATTTATATATATCAAATTTATTTATTGCCAATACAATGTTCGAATCTCAATCATCTTTAACGACTGATGAAAAAGGATACCACTGGTGCACTTTACTTGGTTCACAAGGAATAAAGTAGTACATGCATTAAATACGTTTGCTTCATCTATATTCATAAAACGTTTACTTTCGTTAAACTGCCAGTCCTACACTTTGTATACTGCTTCAGCGTATGCATTATTACGAGGCATTCATTTTATTTCAAATCAAATTAGGATATAATGCTACTGATAATCAGAAAGCAGTAGACGTATGCCTCGCTCTAGTATTTGGCTGCACAGTAGCGTAACCCCACGACCCACCGGGGATCGAGCCCATGGCAATAATGTATTAAGAAAAGTTCAGAAACTACTCAAAATGATAAACAGTTTTGAAGTGGTTATTAAAAACACTCAGGTCAAAACGATTGAGAATGAGATTTCATTTTGAAGTAAGCATTGTTTATGAAGATATATAAAGAATTTTCATTGATATACTTCTTATTTAAGGTCATTTTAATTTGTTTTTAGACTGTTAATAACAATAGTTGTTATAAAAACTGGACAGTACTACATCAGTACGGAGTTTGTTTATATCCCATCAGTTTGCGACTGTACGCTATTGTTATTATTATTGAAAGTAAAGAAAAAATTTAAATCAAGTTTTTTTAAATAATAGAAAAGAATTCTAGCAGTAGAAATTCCTTTATAACTACACTTTATGTGCTCGGTTTTCAGCTACGAAGTTTATGTGAGGTTTGTTACCATTACGTATCAGCTGTAACGAATATGCACGAATCTTGGTTAGAAGGTGCGTTCTAATGGTTTAAAGAGCCTAAGCTAACATTAGAGAAAGGACATAGTTTCTGAAAATGTTATGTTATTAAAAATTCTATATCACTGACTAATTCAGAATAGCTCAATAATTTATCACATTCATAAATTCAAATTTAAAAGTGAATTGTCCTTATTTTGTTTTACCTCAGTTAACAGATTCTTTCATAGTAGCTTAGAAATCAATATCAGAGATAAATCAGATCATTCATTTTACAACGCACAGTACATTCAATACATTTACCCTATTAATTTTCTTTCATTTGAGATACTATAAACAAGATTTAGATGGATATCTTTTTTAGAAACGTTTCTTTATAATTCAGTTCCTTATTAATTTCATCAATACTAAACCGGTTTATTCAAGATAACCATTTTTTAACGATCCTTACATTGTACTTGGTATAATTTCTTAGAAATATAAATTGGAAGTATATAATACAATATTTGGTCTTTGATCATTACATCTCATAATTTCATTTAACATGTAAACTTATTCAAGTCAATACTTCATATTAGTTATCGTAACATCGATGTTTTTTTTATTATTAGAAGCTTTATTCAACATTATAATTTTGGTACAATATAGAATTCTCAGCATAAAGTATTTCAACAAGTTTCCTTTTCTTATATCTTGATCGATTGTGACGATAAATTTTGAATAATGACCAATTAGATGTTAGGAGTTCGGTAATCCACATTTGATTAATGTTCATTCGTTTCAATGCATATTGCCAGCCACTATGATGTCGCTGATTGTACCTTCTTGTAACCCGTTTAGCAAAAGGTTGTAAACTTTTCATAAACGCGCCTGAATAGATTGTGAGCACAACAGACATAATGACGGGTTAAAACAAACAAGAAAACAGTTAACTTGATGAAATATCTAGATCGGAGGAACAGGTAGCCTAAATATTCAAGCAGGCCGCCACGTTATTAGAATTAATTCTAAATTCATATGCTATAAATTTAAACAATGTGATTTGTCTTAAATCTAAGCTCTTAATGGACCATTCAATTCAGATATATAATTATAGAATCTGAACTGAAAAATTATCTCTAAAAAAATTATTCTTCATTTATATCTTTGTTATAATTATTTTGAAACCTATAATCACATATACTCACAGATAAATACACATAATTCATTTTGATGGAGTTTCATTCTCTGAACTGGATGGTTTGGTCGTGTTATTATCATTAATATTGTTAATGATTATAAGAAATCAATCAAATTTATCATGGAAAGTACAACTCTTTAAATGTGAATTTTCTATAAAATATTCACACACACACGCACACACACACACATAGAAACACATAACTTCGTCATCTAATAATTTTTTTTAAAAAAAAAGAAAGAAAAAAAGAAAAAAAAACGGAAAACATTCAATCAATATATTTTACTAAAAATGTTTATGTAATTAACGAATCAGATCATTAAAGAAGTAAGAAAAAAATAAAAACAAAATAAAATAAAATAGAATTGGAAATAAAACAATTCAGTTGTAAATTTTAACTTAGATCATATTACTATCAAATTATTCAACTATCTATCTATATTACTGATTAGTGCAATAAAATAAATAATCAAAAATCTTTCTCTTTTTTTTATTTATTCATCATCATCATCATCATGACAACAAATGAAAACAATAATCAATTAGAAATCAATCAATCAATCAATTATACTGAATCAATTTATCATTTATGTTATGGTTATTTAATACATGATTTAAAAATTAAAAATAAATCACAATTATTTGATAGAACTATTGCAGAAAATGAAATTGATCATATTAAACCAATATGTTCTATACGTTTATATTTATTATTTTGTAAAGATTGTTTACGTATAAAACGTTATATAACTAATACAAATCGTTATAAACGTTATACATTATATTATAAACAAATTGAAGTGTATTATTTTACACCCTATATGAAAAATGTATTAATATTAGGTATCCTATCACCAAATGGTCTAAAACGTAGTTATCAATATATTTATATTAAAAATAATGATGATCATTTTAAAATACAAACAATATTAAATCAAATTTTTGAAAATTCATTAAAAATATTAACAAATATGCCAATTATTGGTCAATTATTAATTAAAAGTTTTCATAATGAATCTATACGTAGTAAAAGATTAGGACAAATAATTTTAGATGATTTACATACATCTAATGATATCGTTAATGAAATCAAAGAAAATGATGATAGTAATCCAATCATTAATGAATAGATAAATGGAAATAATAAAATTTTATCTTAAATATGGATGATACCTTTTTAAAAAAATCCTCATTCAAATATATACATTTTTATATGATAATAGTTTTGTAATGACGTATGTGTATTCTATATTTAATTAAATAAATTTGTTTATTATTAAAATTTATAATTGTTTAAATGGTTACGATCACGAGTCAGTTGAAGCTAGACCACCATGGAGAACCAGGAAGCACTGGACGACCGTTTCGTCTTATTGTGGGATTTCTCAGCAGTGCGCATCCACGACCTCACCCCCTGCGAGATTCGAACCCAGGAACTATAATATCCACAAAACCCATTTGATATTATAATTATTTGTTTTTATTCTAAATTGTAAACAATAAATAGATTATGAATATGTATATGTATGCACGTAAGTAATTCTATCCATATCGCTATAAATATAACTAGAATTCTATTAGATTGATATTGGGTTTTTGTCTCGTATTGATTGTTGGTTTGTTGGTAATGCTCTCATACTTAATCCGTCTAAATGTCAAGCTGTTAACTTTAGCATGAGACATGAACAGCATCTAAACACCATTTTGAGATCCCATAATGATTGTACCATTGGAGACTCTTTGATAAACGCAGTGTCAAAGGTCAATTATCTTTGTGTTACCTCTTCCTCTAATCTCTCTTGGTCTTCTCACGTTTTATCGTTATCGAAGAAGGTTTTCCGTCTGACTTACTGCATAAAGAGATTGCATGCTCTTGAGATCACACGTCATTTGCTCTGACAATTTGTCAATTCTTGCATATTACCTATTAATCTCTGCTGTTCTCCATTATTCTTTCCCGGGTTTTTGAGAAAAGATTTTGCTGTAGTGTGGATAGTGCTGAAGGCAGTTAGCAAGATGTGTGGTGACTCATTCGAGGTCATTATTAAATATGGTTGTGGATAGATATCTGAAGTCATGCAAACTCGTGGCAGGTGTTATTTTATCAGATACTAACCATCCCCTTCACTCTTATCTTTCTCCTTGTATATCTTCTGGTAGAACGAGACGTAATTACACTAAAATCAAAACACTCAAGCAAAAGTATAAAAGTTCTATAATACCTTACCTAGCAAATATACTCTGTGACGAGCAGGTTGTTAGAGTTAACCTAGTCAATAACCTGCATTCTTAACATGTCTTTAATTTTAAAAGTTGTACGTTTTTTCGTTTTTTTTTGAAAACCTTTTTTTATTTTTCGTTTGTATTTGTTACTGTGTTTTTTGTTGTTGTTGCGTAAGTAACTTGTTGAAATACCCTGTGCTGAGAATCCTATATTGTACCAAAATATAATATTGAATAAAGCCATTAATAATAATAATGATATATCACATAGTACAACTCATTATGATTTAAATATAGATTATTTAATATTCTGTTCTTATATAAATGATACGTATTAAAAGTATTTTGATATTATATTCAGAATAATAAGCTGGTATTCAAAGGTGTTAATGTCTAACATCAAACAATTTATGAAATTTTGCCATCGTCCACTATTGTCTTCAATGAGTTACTATGTCACAACAGACCTGATTGAATTCTACTGATCATGGCTTCTCACTAAAACTCTAGTAAATACTTATTGAAGCTAGTCACTAGTGATTTTATATTCAAAATTTGATTGATCACAATGCATCTAACTCATCATATCTTATAGTTTTCTGTCAGTGGGGCAGATTAGATTGCATTGTTTGACAAATAATGTATATTCATTGATAATGAAACAGTTGTTGATCATGTAATTCAGACTTGTGTAAAGTGTTGTGATCGGTAAATTTTCGGAATCTAATTTTAGTTTAATAACTATTAAACCTTCTACTCTACCTTGGTTTTATATTGTCTATTCAAAGTAAAGATGACCATAAGTAGTTCTGTAAATTCAAAATTTATTACTGTATATATCAATTGTGCATTAGTTAAAGGATTTATTTCAGTGTAAACATTTTAATATAACTGATGGAACAGTGTAATCACTCTACGTAAATCACCTATTTTTCGATGAAAAGTAATGGTGTATCATTGAAACTTGAGTCTTACGAATTACTTTTGATAGTTCTAAGAAAAGGAGTGAATTTAATAAGTGAATTCTTCAAATAAAATGAAGAACTAAGCCATTTTAATAAGTCGTTCATTAGACCTTGTTTGAAAATACTAGATATAATTATTTTTTAAAACTCTGTAGTGGATTAAAGTTGTTTAGAAAAACGGTAGGTAAATCAATGACTCATGACATTTGAATCTATGGAAAAATATGCAAAATGAAATTTTTCATGTTGAATTTTGCTATTCAATAGTGTCTTCTGTTCGTTTCATCTCAATCGGGAAAACATCAAACATATCCAACTACTGTTCATGGAAAACTGCTTTGCTCTGATGATGCAGCTTATATTGAGGTGCACTTTCCAAACACGTATGGAGGAACTTCCCTGCTTCGGTATATGAAGGGCTGATACAGATCATTCAACAACTCAATCATTGAATAGAATTGTAATTTCAATCATGAATCGTCACAAAGTCAAAAAAATCCGAATAAGTAATTTTTGCATGGGTCAACTAGTACATGATATCGGTGTTCAGGAGAGACATGTTCGTTACCTTATTTTATCGTTGTCGTAACACCTGTTCTAATTTCATAGGTTGTTATTACAGCTTGTTCATCTATTCTCCACCTTTTACATAATCTTCAAATGGACAGATACCTTTCCCATTTCATTTATGGATTTTTATTCACTGCCATTCTTATCACTATTACCTTATTTGTAATTGATAAATCAAATTGTTTGATTGTTTTTCACAACTTTGCCAAATAGAAGGAGAGATTACTTCCTATTTCACTATAGAAAACTCTGTATAAAATCTTCCTTTAAATATGATTGTACAGCTCAAGTAAAGAATACCTTCGAAAAGAAGAATATTTTACCACTCCGTCGCCTTCATTTTTATAGCTTACGTCATGGGATTATCTTAGTTAGATAAACACTGAGAAAAAATTATTGGAAAGTTGTTTTTTGCTAATACTTGACTCCTTGGCAGTGCGCATCCACGACCCCTTTGGAAATCTCAACATATTTTTATAGTGAGAAACACTATATTCTTCCTAGTGGCTAACTTTTAAAAATAATTCTTGGAGTTCTAGCCAGACTTTCTACCGTTCAGTTCAACTGTATCAGAACTGAAATTTATCACTGACAGTTATTGATGACGATCACAAATATTGCCAATCGGTCTACTATGAGACCTAACTGTTCTCGGTTCTATCATCACTTTAGTTGTGAGTGCACACACGTAAGAAGTCCAATATTAGGAAGATAAACTGTATTATTCCTCTTGGTCTTCAGTGGCTGTCCGATTAAGATCAGTCCAACATACAAACCATGACTAAAATACGTTTCATTTACTGAGTTCATTATTTTATTTCAAGCATATTCTATTGTTGTTTGCCTCGATCAATTTATGATCTGAGAACTCTTCAGTCTTCTTATTTCCTTCCAAACGGTAACACAGTTGTTATAAGAAAGTAATACGGTTTTTTTTGTCTATCTTTTAACTTTTCATCGTACACGTATCATCCATTCATTATCAACCTCACATCAACTCGTTTATAAAAGATTACTTATAAATTGGAATACCCCTATTAGAAATACTTAACTAAATCAAATTCATCATCATATATTGTTGTAATCAGAGAGGGATTTTGTGGATATTATAGCAATTTAATAGTTGAATTTATGAGTCAATTGAAGCTAGACCATAACAGAAAACCTAGAAGCACTGAACGGCCGTTTCGTGCTATTATGCCGCAATTTTGTGGCTTGGTTGAACTTAAACATTAACACCGTTGGATGCCGGCTGGCTCAGTGGTCTAGTGGTTAAGCGTTCACACGCGAGACTGATAGGTCCTGGGTTCGAGTCTCACATGGCGAGATCGTGGATGCGTACTGCCGAGGAGTCTCACAGTGTGACGAAACGGCCATCCAGTCCTTTCAGGTTTTCCATGATGGTCTACCTTCAATTGACTCATATATTATTGTATGTCAAGTGATTAAGTTTTCTTTAAAATACATCAAAATTCTTTCATCATCAAATTAATGAGACTCAAAATCTATTTCATATTCTTTTATGTACATTTTCCAATATGTAAAGATATTTTATGTTTTACAATTATCTTATTATATTTTATTTAATTATTCAATAAAAACTATAAGCAGAATGAACGTTTTTTTGTTAACTGTTTCTGAACAAGCTTGAAGTAAATTATGAGAATTACTGGGGGAATAAAATCACTAAGTAGAATCCTGCTGGCACTGGGTAATAATTACTTACTTCTTACTTACGCTTTTTACCTCTTTTGGAGAAGCATAATCCGGCCATTAGAGAATAATGTTTATTCAAAAAACCCTTAATATGGGTCGGAAACGAGTTAGCGGAGTTATTTTATAGCATATATTTTTAAAAAAAAGTCTAGTAACCATGTATAAAACAGCAAGAATCAATCAATATTTATTTATCTCATCAGTAAAATGTTGACTGTCATTTAAATTATAGAATATCAATATGTTTGGGAATATTTCATTATAATAGGTCGTACCATGTAATCCATGTTATTGGTATAAAACTGAAAACAATGTTTACTATCTGTATAATTCATTAATACATGATCTATGTCGAACAAATTAAGATAATCTATAAGGATGTAATCCCATCTTATTAATTACATAATGGACAAAACGTTATCTGGAATAATTCACATTATGATGTCTTGGTATTATAATATGATTTTTGCATTAGTGTAAACAACATTACTGATACATAGTTCAGTTTTCTTACAATAATATGAAGGGTGTAACGAAGGCATTAAAAAAAAACATTCTGATACAAACAAACTCGATAATACTAGGTCAACTATATGTTTTGATAATGTTTTCATCCGCTTTGTTTTTATCATTATAGGATAATGACAGAATCTAAATGGAAATATAGTATGAACCAGAAACAATCAGTCTATTCAATATAATATTAGTAATATGACTTGTTGGATATTCATTACTGTTGAACGGTAATAAGAACTGCAGATTCATACATTCATATATTTTCTCATCAATATCTCAGCATATAATTTTACTAAAGCATTATAAACTTATTTTGATTCAAAAAAATATTAATTCGTAACAGAAGGGGTTTTGTAGATAATAAAGTAATTTTAATAGTTGAGATCATGAGTCAATTGAAGCTATATCACCATGGAAAATCTGGAAACACTGGACAGCCGTTTTGTCCTATTGTGAGACTCCTCAACAGTGCGCAGTGGATGTGTCGCTTAATTTCGTGGATTGGTTAAAGTTAGACATTAACACTGTCGGATGCCGGCCGGCTCAGTGGTGTAGAGGTTAAGCGTTAATGTGTGAGACCGATATATTCTGAATACGAATCTCACGAGTCGAGATCGTGGATGTGCACTACTGAGGAGTTCCATACTAGGACGAAACGGTCATCCAGTGCTTCCAGGTTCTCCATGATTTTTTGACTCATGAATTCAACTATTAAATTACTACGATATCCACAAAATCCCTTTTTGATTATAATTATAGATTACTTATGTTGAGCAATTATCTTTTACGAATAGATTATCGCCTGATATATTTTGTAGGCCGTAATATAGATAGTTTATTATCTATCTCTTAGATTGTGACGCAATAGGTTTGTAATTTATTAAAGTCACGTAAAAATTCAGACTATTTACCTAGTTTATCCAAGAACTCATATTTACCTATAATTGTAGAATTTAGGACTGAGAGATTATATGTGAATTAACTACTACATAATGAGTGACTTATTTGTTAAATATGTAAAAGTAAGAACCGTTAATGGTTATCATAAATCAATAATTTACGAAATATCTCATTTATTATTTAACCTAATACTTATTACATTCTGAAACGAAGTAAACACGAATTCTATGATTTTACCTGATATCCGAAAGTGTCCTGTTATCTCTATCTAATATTGTGGGATGTTGAGAAGAGAACATTTGTATCCTGAAGTATGTTGACAGTGTAGAACACTAATAGAACACGTTTCTTTTGAAGGTCAGAACATTAATAAATTTACTTTGTTAATAGGACATATTAGTGGATATTTAAACATGATTCCCTCCGAAAAGTTCAAGCTTATAAGGTTTACAAGTAGTAAACCACAAACAACGATATATTTTCAGGGATGAATTAGATTGAATGATTTCTTCTACACAGATACTTTATTACGGTATATTTGTATTGAAAATCAGTTTCACATCTCTAATAAGTAGAAATAAGTAAAATTTAGTGTTTTGACACTTCTAACGTGCAGACTGAACTATCAACATATAATAGTGGAGTAGAGAATTATGTAAACTCTGATTTACTCATCACTGTCGAGAGCATCGAGCGAATTTGACCTCCAACTTCAGAACGCAAGATGAATTACATCTAGAGCTTATGTATTACAATGGTTTGATATATTTTAAGTTTATATAAATCAATCAATGATTATAGTAGCAACTTATGAATCTCATCAGTATACCGGATAAAAATACATACTGAAATGTATCCGTGAATAAAAATGGGGAGCTTAAAGTAAAGTTTGAACCGAAAATAACTTATTTCATTTCTATAGCTCTCGGGTTTAATCTAGCATAGTATTTAAGGCTTAGGAGAACTAAACCTGCTAAAGTTACTACATTCTGTCGCCCGTAGAAATCGATTCCAAACGGTATGTCATTGATTGTTAAAGTAACTACCTTCTAAAATCGAATATGGAACTTTTCAAATTCTTTTAATGTTATTCAACTTAACATTAAAAACAGATTAATTTTGAAAATGATTGTATACCTGACGTTCGTTGGTAATGTTTGCCTCGATGTTTTACGAAGTGTTTTGTCTCCGAATAGAGATGTTGCTCATCGTAAACTGAATACAATTTAGGTAATTATTCTTTTAGAGATACGGCATATTTATAAAGATAAAAAATTAGCATTTTATTTCACTTCTCAAAACGCCATTTCTAATGAGACAAGGTTGCTTAAAGCTAAAATCTCTGCCGAATAACTTATAAGTACGATAGTTGACGTAGACCCAGAAGGTTAGATTATGGCTTACCAAGTTCACAACATGCAGTAATATTTCATAAGATTTAATCCATGATAATAATTTTAATAAACGAGTAACTTGAAACTTCTAAGTAAATTAATTATAAAATCCGAATACTGTCCAAATTTACAAGCTATATTTAAAAAAAAACACAGTTAAGTAACGAATCATTTAATTTTTCATCAAATTATAATGTTAGGCTGATGTCTGATTCTCAATACAGTCATTGTCAACATCGACAAATCTTTCAGAATATAAATAAACAGGTCCAAGATGTGCGATAGTTGCACCAGATTTAGAGTCTGGACAAATAAAGGTAACTCCAGCTGGCCATTTAGATGGTGGATACAAATCTGTCACTTCATAATTTTCCTCATATGAATCACCCTCATAACCTGTTCTGTAATATAACTTTGCTGATTCATCGTCTGCATGAAATATTGGCGTAAGTATAGGTTCGACGTAAGCGTCCGCTTTGTAAATCGCTGAAGCATAACGATTATTATTATTAATATTATCATTATTATCATCATCATCATCATAATCATCTTCATAGGTTACGTCATTAAAATCACCGTTTATTCCATTATAGTGTTTCACTGGATCACTACCTTCTGTATCACTTGATTCAATTTTACTATTCATATTTTCATTAGATCCTTTTTCATTTTTTAAAATTGATGAAATAATACTAGTTACTGAATCATTTTGTGAATATTGTGACACCACTTTACGTACATCATTTTCATTTTCTATTAATTCATTTTGATATAAACGATTTTCTAATTGACTTTGTAATTCATTATCAATTTCATTAGATTGTGTCCATACAATTGAACCAAGTGATCCATGACTAAATCTTTTATTATCATATAATGATGACATAGATAATGTACCAATTGGATTTAAATCAATTAATTTTCTTTCACTATTTTCACATGCTTGAACAAGTAATCTACACAAAGTTTTAAAATCATCATCATCTTTAATTTTTGTACATTCATAAGCACGTATTTGTTGATTTTTACTAATAATACCTAATACAAGAATATTTTTAATACCTTCTGATATATAAATTATTTCAATTTGTTCATAACCTAAATATAAACGTTTATATGAATTTGTTGGTTTTTTATAAGCTTTTATTCTTAAACCATTTTCTGTTAAATAAATCATACGTTCTTGAGATTGAATAGTTCGTTTTTTATTAATTAATTTCTTCATATATTCTTTATTAAATTCTTCATTTGGTTTTAATGTACGTTGTATAAATAATTTTCCAGGACATTTAAAATAAATTAATTCATGAATATCATAATTGGTTTCTTTGAATGATGGTACCGAATTACTTAATGCATTCTTTTGAATTGATTTACGTGACATGATAATGTATATTGACTTTCTTTGATAGGCACAGAATCCGAAGGTAACAAAAAGATAAATAGAATTGATATTACAGTATTTATATATGTATAAATGTAATCACTGAGTATAATATTGTTGCTAATACAAGTAAATCTAGAGTTGATTTGACTAAATATCAATAATGTAACCAATGATTATACTTCAAGAAGTTCAATAGAATATATGTAACATATATGTCATAGAATTTATATATTTTTTAAAAACAACCGTAGTAATTAATTAAGTAGAAATTCCTTCACCTTTCAGTGAATTAAAGTAAATAAACATAAGGAAGTGATGTTAAATTCACCGATATTGAAATAAATCCTATCACTTTTAATTTTGTTTTGTTTTTTAATTTTTATTTTTTGATAAATTTTACTGTCTGTCAGTTCATCCAAAAATCATTTCTGTACATAGTTCCACGTATGTATGTATATATACTTGGAATAATGTATATTAGTGCATAGAAACAGATTGAACGTTAATTACATACACTAAAGTAGGTGACTCATATAAATAGTAAATTGAATGAAGCCAAAAGTTTATACATCTCAATAACTTTGAACCAATTACTATGCATTCTAAATAATCTAATAGAATAACATAAAATTTGGTCATTGTGTTCACATTTGACCTGTAATTGAATCGATTAATTCATTCAGTATATTGTGGTTTCATAATTTCACTATTGTACATTTTAATGTTCAAAAATCAATAGGTAACACAAAATATAATGAAACAAAATAAGAGCTATAATGTAATAGACAATGTGGGTAATCAATAATTCATCCGTTCTATGTTTGAATTGAGTAAATAAATCTAACTATAACAATGTAGACTGTTTGTTCATTCATGTGATGCTCAAATTTGAATAAAAAAATGTTTTTGGACATGTAGCACATTCAGTAATTGAATAATGCATGACACATTTTAAAATAGTCAGAATTTGTTTTTTTTTAAAAAGTTAGATTCATCTCATTATGATAAATAAAGAAGTGAAACTCAAGGTTAAATTAAAAAGCTTTATATATTCAATATACTCACTACTTATCATGAAATGGTGTAATCAAAAGTGATATTCTGTTTACAGAACTATTGAGAAATTAAGACCTTAGATGATTATTGGACGCTTAAACAATTAGCTCACTTCAAAATATCATTTTCTGTAAGTTCGGCATTTGTGCATGCTCTGTATATTGCTTAGATCTTGTCACTAATCCACAAGAATTATAAACAGAGATGGATGGCGGCTAGGAGTGGAGTCCAGGACGCGCGTTTCGTCTTATTTGGTACTCGCCAACTGGATGTGCTAACATCCATCTCTGGTTACAATGCTTGTAACAGTGGGTAACACCGATACTATCCACACAGAATGTATACATGCCAAAAAAAGACTGAACAACTCCAGTCCAAAAAATCAATGGCAATACGTGATGGCATATCAAAAGGAGCCGTTCTGGGTTCAGGCCTCATGATGAACTGTAACTTTGGGATGTGTGTAGTCCCAAAATAGGGCTAAACTTTCGTTTTCGATTCTACTGATAGGCGCCATGTATCTTTATTATAAAATTCATGTTTATTGTTTTAAATGCTACATAATACTGAAACTTTAAGTTAACACTTTGATTTTTTCGTTACTTGGTTGTTTGATAATATGAAAATATTTTCAGAGAAACGTTGTTCATCGATAACTTTTTGATCAAAACACTTACATCCAACTTAACGATCAAAGTTATATTCTAGTGTTGTAGTTCAAATACGAATAAAGATACTTTGTTCTACTAACATTTATAACTTTAAGGATAAAATTTGTATTAACAAAATTTGACTTAAAATCATCAAAAATAATGATTGGATTGTATGGAAAATGTGGACGTAAATAAATATAATTTAATGGATGAAATATGAATCTTATCTAACTGGCTTCAAGAGGTATTCCCTGGAGTTATATTGAGAAACAGTGATCAGTGGAGTTCAACCAAGTCTGTTATGAGATAGTAACTCACTGATGACAATGGTGGATGTGTCGCTCAATTTCGTGGATTAGTTGAAGTTAGACATTAACACCGTTGGATTGCAACCTGCTCAGTGGTTTAGATGTTAAGCGTTTGCGCGCGAGACTGATAGGTCCTGAGTTCGAATCCCACGAGGTGGGATCGTGGATGTGCATTGCTAAGGTGTCTCACAATAGAACGAGACGGCTGTTCAGTGCTTCCATCTTTTCCATGGTGGTCTACCTTCAAATGACTCATGGTCCCAACTATTGAAATTCTTATTTAACTGTTTATTTTACTGTAACTTAACTGAGACTAGATAAGTCAGACTTATAATATACAACATCATGTAGTTGAACTTCTGTATTAGTCTACTTAATCTACGAATCTTTCCCAGCTAATCTGTATAAATCTACCTAGTATATCATAAACCTTGTAACTTTTAAGAAGATAAACAGAGCAGAGTATCGTAATGGATATTGTTGGCAGTATTTTCAACATTTCTAATATTTTGTTTCATGGTCAAAAACGAAAAAAAGGAAGAGAAGTTTACGAAGTTTAATTTTGCTACTGATTGTTCTATGTCTAACGACAGGAATGAATGGATTCTTTTGATGTGAAATTTCATGTTTCCTTTCTTGTTTTTTCTGCGATATCTCTATTAATCGCGGAACAGATAAAGGCCGTAACGTCTAGTCTGTAAATTTCTCAATTCATCTACTCAAATATGTTTTTAAAACTACAAAAAAATGAGTTTTTTGATTAGTCTCTGGTATTTCAATATGACTGGTAAATAAATAGAGAACACGTTGCTAACTAGAATATATTAATTTTTATAAATCAAGATACAATTACTTATCTCTATGTGTCCTGTTTTCTTTTTGTAAAACCCAATGCAGTTTGCTCTTAGTTAGCCATCAACACAATAATAAATTAATATTTTATTAAATACAAACTTCAGGAGAAATCATGGGAAATGTTTCTGTTACTGCAATTAAAGTTAAGCTCATATGTTCACTCTTTAGTAAAGTGAATTTATGGATAAATCACGTGCTGATCTTAACTAGACCGCAATTATAAAGATGCAAGAAATAGACCAAAAGCAACCTATAATTATGTTATTTTTCCTGACTGTCAAATAATAAGAAGTTTGTTTATCGTCTAGTCGATTTTGTCCAATCTCATCAATAACAATAGTCCGTTTATAATTGAAATATGTTTAACAGTTTACTCAATACTGAATTGTATATCCTTCTTGATTATTGAAAGATTAAGGACATCAAATATTCAGAAGAAGGAAAGTTAATCATCCTATGATATCGCTGACATTTAACACATAGGTTAATTAATCTGAATGGCATATATATATCTCTGATACTGTAATTATGTTTTTGGTAAATGTTACAACAATTTGAATTTTGTTAAGTCTAAGAAAATTCTTATCCAACTTATTATTAAACGATTTATTTTTAATTTCATATGCTTGAAGAAAAGTATAACCAGGACTTTGTAATTTCAGCCAAAAATGTATTCCCTAGTGTTAACTTGAAAGCTCACCTATGATATTCTTATCTTCATACAAAAACGACAGTGAAATTAAACAAATCTCAAAGTTAAATTATCTTTCAGTAAATTTATTGTGTAAGATGAGTGAATCCTCATAACACTCTCAACAGTACCTAGTCGTAATTCCTGTCTACGTTCACATTCAGAGTAGTGATAATAGATAAAATTTATCTAATCTTAGTTCCAACCTTTGAGACTTTGGGTACAAACATTCTACTAAAACAATTAGATATTACTTCGACATATGACAAAATTTATCAGAAGAACCATTGAATTCAATAATTTGAAAAAAGCCACCATTATTTTTAGTCCGGATCCTTTAGATAGTAATGAGTTTTCGCTAAAATGACAATAATTTCTAAAAGAAAGCAGTAATCGAATTCATTCAACAGAATAGTTATTTACCGTTTTGTTATAAGAATGCTTACACTTCATCAAACTCATTCATTTCTCTTGAATTTATATGCCAAAGTTTTAACAAAAAGAAAATTTCCTTCTTTGATAAAATTCTTATGAAAGTTTTGTTATTTTCTGAGTTGGATACTTACAGAGAGACTAAACAAGAAATGTCATCTCATTAAATGAACAGTCATAATGAAATAATAACCTTATCTTTAAATATGACACTTTTTAGTTAATATAATTTTGATTGAGCACATGATCACTAACAGAATAAAAATTATGTTAACTCATTTGCAAATAGCATATATACTAACATAATAATATGAACATTTTTTGATTGAAATCATGAGTCAATTCAAGCTAAACCACCATGGAAAACCTGGAAGCACTGGATGGCCGTTTCGTTCTAGTATGGGACTCCTCAGCACTGCTGAGGAGTGCTGATTATCAGAAGACTATCATTTAAGCGAAGAACAATCAGATACAGAATGACCTTATAACACCAGCTAACTAATTACAAATACAACCATAACTTTTCTGTTCCAAAGTTAAAATAAATCAAGGAGGGGTTATAATAGATAAGGTGCTACAATGTTACAAATTGTTTACGAATTGTACAGGTTCTTTTAAAATATCTAACACTTAGGCATTTTTGTTCAAATAAATGTCCGTATTGTGTACATTGATGTTTACAGAATCTTTGAATTAAAGTTCTTCAAACGGCTGAAACAGTAGACATCCGGATGAAGAAACCTGAGCTATGAGTACAAAAGAAATATCTTCAACAGCTTCTCCTCCCCTGGCCAATCTCAATGCCATTAATCAATACTTATCTGCGCTATTGAATGACGTAATTGGACTATTATACCTACAAATTAAAAGCACGAAATTCAGTGAAGGGCTCTCTTTTCAACAAATCTTTTATCAAGCTGTACAATGGTATATATATATATATGAAAATTGTTTGTTAATTATTGTAACAAAAACATTTTATTCATCTTACTACATTCACGTTATAAATCGTTACTAACTTACTAAATCTATTGTTACTATTCGTATTACGTAATCCAGTATTATAATCTTTCTATTACGTCATCTTGGTTATTCGTATTCATATTTCCTCAAGGAACTAGTACTGTAACAAACAATTTTCATATATATATACAATTGTACGGCTTGCTAATAAAATCGTTGTAAAGAGATCCCTTAGCTGAACTTCGTGTTTTTAAGTTTTAATGTTGCAATTACGA